ATATATATGTGTGTGTGTGTGTGTGTGTGTGTGTGTGTGTGTGTGTATGTATGTGTGTGTGTGTGTATGTATATATATATATATATAAATCAGATGATAGACCCGCACATATGTTCTGGTATAACAATACAACAATAAAGACTGATTCATGCCCCTGTACAGCCAACACACCTGTATTCACTCTCCTCAGGCACGAATGGAGACAGAAGCTTCACAACATGCTCAGCTCGATTCAAAACCGCCAGATGGATGCCTCTCAGTCTATAAATATTATCAGTCACATCGTTCCGAGCTTCGGGTTTGAGCTTCAGGATGGTATCAACACAGGCCTCTTGACCTCCCATACAAGCGGCCAAGAATGGAGTGATGCTGTACCGATGTGTACTTGTCTTGTCTTTCCGATACACGGTCGATTCCTCAGTCTTTGTATGATACATGGTGAGGAGGCACAGAGTCCAGGTATATGAGAATTATGTGTGGGCAAAGGCATATGATGTGTGGACAAGAGGCAACCTATATTATGTTGTGTGCGACCGTGCGGTTATAAACATACGGCTATGGCGAGATAGAGATTCAAGCATGATACGTGAGTATGCACATATCTATGTGCCGATTTCTTTGCCTCCCATGTCATAGGCGAGCTTTGTATACGATTGGTTTCCGTGTGTTGGTAAGATTCTTCTTGCGGTAGGATAGAGATAGACCGCCGATGGGTCTTAAATGGCACATAGAGCGCGGCTGCACCTTGTACCTACACCACATTTTGCACCAATGCTTGGGAGTCTCGGACTCACACCGTAGTATTTGAACTTGAACTATACACACTTGATATCTCTATTTTACCAGCACATATGTTTCTAGCTCATAATCACACACCAATGCACGCGTGCAACTTCAGCACAATGGTTATGTATATGTGCACACACCAGCCCACTTACACCTTTCAGCCTCAACCGCACATCTCAACGTCTACATATCACCTTTGCATTTAAGACTGTTTTTGGCGGTAGTCTTACAAACACACCCACCTTGGTCGTGTCGCTATCGAATTCTACATTATCATTCAACAGATCGGAGAATGTGAGTATCTGCTCCAGTGCATCGAGGTGTCCATATCCCGCAGCATAATCAGCGGCTGAAAACCCATGCACGTCACGCGCATGTACGGCTTGCATTGCCTCGTCCCTGGTTGTTCGCCAAGAAAAGTGGTACAAAAATGATCCCGTTTGATGACTGGTTGTTGATATAGCGTCCAAGGGTGTGTTGAGTACGCAACGCGATAAATAATTGTGCTGTAATGATATGCACATGACATCACGTGATAAACAACTGTATCGTAATGATATGCACATGACATCTTGATTGTGAATAGAGCTGGTTTTCATTTGAAAGGCGTATGCTTGCCTACACGGGAAACAGGCACACAGTCATGTACATGCAAAATATCTATTCTAATATAAAACACCCCGATTCTATAAAACCCTAAAACTCTCACCCGGCTAGTTAGCCTCGGTACCCATCTATTCGCACTCATGAATATATGAAATATGGTCCGCCAGATGAAACGCCCCACCACATACCTACTGGACGAGATCGTCATGTGGTGTGTGAGGATTAAACGAACACATTCTGAATTGCCAGCAGACGCCGCACAGTGTAGTGGGCTGAGTAGCTTCCCACCAGAGATCGGCAGGCTGAAATGGGGAGATTGAATGTAGATAGTGAGCAGCCAGGATCCACTGGCTCAAAGAATACATGCGAAGTGATGCGTGAGACACAACCCCGGAACTACTGCAGTTGAGCATGGCTGAAAAGTACAGACAAGAAATCAGGGCTGCCTGTATATGTTTGAGTTCTGAATACCTAGCTCACATAGGTATACATTGAGTTAGTGTCATAAGTCACCAGTATGAATACGTTCGATAGCAGCAACACCATACATATATCCCAAAAAAAATACATATGCATATATTAAGTTTGCCTATTCCACACGTGTCTACATACTCGAAGCTCTCGGCAGACTGCATGAGTTCGCTGGCAATCAGCATGCCCTCAAAGTCATTGCTGCCAGCCACAGCCCGGTGTATGGGCGCCAGTCCGAACTTGTCTCGCGCCTCTAGCATGGACGGATCGGCGTCAATCAAGCACTCCACTGCATCCGGTGAGGCTCCATTGGCACACGCCAGGTGTAAGGGTGACCAACCGAGGTGGTCTTGCACACTGTGGGTGAGTAATATGGCCAGGGTATGTGTGAGCGAGTGACGTACTATTAGTATGTATGATTGGTGTGTAGATGCGGTTCTTATCGTATGCAGCTGAAGTCCGTTCACTAGAATTATCTCGCAATTGAGGGGAGTTCTGCAAGGTTGGGTCTTCACCAAATGCGCACGTGGTCTAAAAACAAGTCAGTTTCAAAGGTATACTATATGCGTATTTACAGCAGTGGAGTACACTTGTACTTGATGCATATATGCAGATCATGAGCTCCTTCCCACCTTGCTGATTGAGGGCATGTATATATGAGGCTTTCCACCAGTTGCACGTTTTGAGGTTTGTTCTTAATCGCCCAGTGTGCGGCACAACGACCTTTCTTATCGGTCGAGTTTGCCACAGCATCACGTGCCAGCAATGCACGAACAACCTCCGCGTGACCTGCGAATATAGATGGCGATAGGATACTTAAAGGTTACGTACACTGAAACAATAGGTGAACCGGATTCCTGTCGCATTGTTAGATGGCGGGTCACTATACGTGTAAGTCCAGCATGTCTTCATTGCTGTTTTGAACCCATTAGAAGCCGGTATGGGCCCAAGTAGCGAATGATTTCTCATCGCTTGTATAATAAGTGTTGTGTGTGATTACCGAACATTAGTGGATCAAAACCTACATCTGTACTGCCAACCAAATCAGTAATTGCTCTTATCGGCATTAGTGTGCAATGCGCAGTCTCATGTACATTCCATGTACATGTTGGGATAGTCATATCATTACGCATTCCAGTCGGGCATACAATATGTGCTATCAAGACAGACGAGCAATGCGATTATGCTTCGCAACAGTACTATAATGGTACGTCTATAATTTTGTATTTTACTAATGATTGCCCAAGCGGCGATGCGCTGCGCATGAAACGCGTGATTCTGCATCTATTGCTGTGTAGCCCAAGTACGATACAGAATACAGATATAGATATATGTATATATATATATATATATATGTGTGTGTGTGTGTGT